TCTCTCTCTCTCTCTCTCTCTCTCTCTCTCTCTCTCTCTCTCTCTCTGGTTCGACCAGTCTGTTAAAAGCTTGGAAACTCCAACAAAGCTCGAGCCTTTATTCAACGCCTGCCCGTCCTTGAGTTTTAGAAGTTGCGGCTTGGACCGGTGCATGACTTGGCATTTTTGCAACACTTCTTTGAAACGTGACCTCTTCAACCTTAGTCACTTTGACTATGTACAGCACACACACACACACAAACAGAGCTTATGGCCTCATTCCCACTCGGGGTTGGCCTAAAAAGGACCGTCCAGGCTGGTATAGAGGAGTGAGAAGTCTGCATAGTTCTGCTTAGTGACTTGGCAGCACTATAGCCTAAAACCTTCAGTCTCCCAAAGCCAGGTCTAGAAACGGGGCTCACTTGGGCGACTCGCCAAAGTTTATAATGGTCATGCAGTGCTAGTTTACCTGAGAGGGCCAAGGTCAAAGGCCAAACGGGTGATTTGTTATCAGTCACACAGATTCTAAAACCTATGGTACCTTCTCCTTGCGCAGACTACGAACCAAGAATGCAACTTGTTGCCTCAGTACATTCTCATTATCATACATGTGTCTGCCTCAGTGTTTAGCCATCTGTCCTGCGTGCCTGTAGACTTAAACAATAAAATATATCTATAAAGAGGTGGGACGCAGCTTCAGCCAGACTAAAAATACAGACACCAGTAAACAGGAAATCACAATGGGTTTAACACCGGCCAAGCCCTCGCTGCCCACCAGACACCGTTTTGCACCGACCACATCCACTTGCCTGGTTCACCATGGAGCCACAGTGAGACCAGAGCGTGGGCTTATTTACTCAAAGGGAATCATCATTCCGGCGGCTGGCTCCATTCACTGGACAAAGTTGATGCAGATATGGATGCATCATTGGGAAAAGACTTCAAAATATAAAAGGACCAAGTGCGTTTTTCTAAACCTTTACTGGTGTCCGATTATTTGCACTTCCTATTGTGACTGCTTGCTTTGGCCCTTCTACTCATATTGGTCAGTCTTTTCCGTCAGACAAAGGTGTTATGTCACGACAATCATTAACAACATATCAGGTCACAGCTATTAAAACCTGACAACATCCCGGACAGCTACTTAGTTAGGATCTAAGTGATAACGAGTTGAAGGATTAGAAGGTTAAAATGCTTTTGTGTCGCCCCCAAACCCTGGCTAATATTTCACTCTGTCCTGGATTCTCAGGAGTCCTTGGAGGGTCCCGGGTTGCGTATTTGCACTCCCCCCTTGTCAGATATTTCAGCCTTTCACCCTGCACCCTCCTTCATCTGGTCCGTTGACGCAAACAGTCCACATCTCAGGCTTCTTTAGAGCTTAGCCCTAAACCTTGTGACAGCTTCAGTGTCTCTGCTGCCTGAGAACTCATTAGCATTTTTCACAAGTACATTTACTGTTTTTCAGAATCAGAATCAAAACCATTTATTGCCAAGCATGTTACACATACAAGGAATTTGACTTGGTGAATGGTGCATAACGATAAACAATTAACACAGCAATATTCGAGACATCATTTAAAAATTTAAAAATATTAAAATTGACAATAAAATATGGTAAACAAACAGAAAGTATATAATACAAGTGGCAAGTGTATTTTAATATAGTAAAGGAATACCTTACCCACAAAATGACCATTTGTTAATCAATGTCTCGCCCCGCGTTACCTTGAGTTCTTAAAGAAAACTTTTCTCACGTGCCTCCACGGCAAACGAAAAATCAAAAAAAGGAGAAAGACCGTTTTCTGCAGACTTGTCCGGACTCGCGAATGAGTAAGACTGTTTACGCAGAAGTGTTTTTAATGGTGACGTTTTAGCAAAGATGCATGTGTTTGGAGAGTAGTGAGCATACGACTGGATAAATGTGACTATTATAACGCTCGAATTGTGTGGGATTTAACAGATGTTTTGATATAGTCTTGCTGTTGTTAAATGCAGCCCCCATTTCCTTCAATTCATTAAGTCTTTTCTAATTTTTTTGATTCCCCGTTCGCCGTGATCAAAGCAACATGGGGAGCGTAACTGATGTTCATTTTGTGGGTGAAGTATTCCTTTAATGTCAATGAGGTCTTGTTTCATAGCTAACGTTCATCTTTCAGGTTCAACTCCGGTGCGCCCATTACTTTTGGCCACAGCTATGTTAATTTTACTCTCCACGGCATGCCTTTGCTCACGAGGCTGGGACCAACCTGTACCCCCCTGGAAACAGACACCACCTGGTGTAGTTTCTGTGACGCTGCCGGAGCTGCGTTGGCATCAGCTTCAGCTTCTGCTCCCTGTTCTGTACAGCAATTACAATGATCACAACTAAAATTGGGCCCTGTTACTCAACTGGGCAACCCGACCCTTGTGGGGCTCGCATACCAGAGCTCCTATAGGTCTGTACACAGAGGTACTGGGGTTGTCCAGTAGAGTTCCTGGAACCGAGGAGGTGGCCATGAGGAGGGAGGGAGGGCTGGCTTGGCTCAGGGCCAGTGTTCCATGGAGACAACAACATATATCACCACAGGGGAGGCAAAGAGGGAGATAGGGGAGTGAGACAGAAGTAGAGAGGGGGAGAAAGCTTGAAAACATGCGGCTGTGAAATAAGAGAGGAGTGCTCACAGAGGTGCCCACAAGGCTGCTGGGTTGGCAGAGGGCAGTGAGCCAAGCTGAGGGACTGGCTGTTGGAAAGGAGCACTGCTTGGCCTGGTGACAATGAGGGGATAGACAGAGGGAGTTTAACCCACACTGGAGTTTCGGTGCCACGCCTACTAATACAACTCAAACTGAGCTGTAGACGACACCCCTTATTCGTCCTGTACATCTGGATGCACAGTGGGAGCAACGTAGTGAAACAGAAACACAAGCTGGCTCGCGTGAGAAAATGAAGGCTAACAGTGTTCAGCTACTCCTCTGTTTTCCTCCACTCGTCTATTTTCTGCGTCCCTTTTCTTTTCTGTGTCCGCCTCTGTGAATATTGATTCAGCTTGAATATTGATTCCTTGTCCAACACTTGCCCAAGTTGTCCTTTAGATTTTAGCTGGCCTGGTCCTGGCTGACTTGTATGGCTTTGGTTCTGGGGGTAATACATAAAGCGAAATGTAGCTTTTCTTTGCTGAGGTAGGGGCTGATCAGCACGGCAATGCAAGGTCCTTATTGTCCCAACGCTGAAGAAGTTTTGCGTGATTTGTCGTACTTTACTGGATTTACTCTTGGTTTGTACTTCCACCATGGTACACGGTATAATATGGGTTCTCTATCATCATGGTGCCAACTTGGCCTTTTTGTTTCACTTATTCATTCAGCCTGACATCATGTTCATGACCAAATTCAGTTTTGAAGAGTGGGCATCCAGTCTCTGCTATTTAGTAGCAGTTGCTAGGATCACCTAGCTTAACATTAAGACAATCTATGAAATTATAAGTTGTTATTTCCATAAAGGGGAACACCACCTGAATTATTGTATGTTTTGTCGGCCTAGAAAAGTTCAATCACTATTTGTTAACCTGAGCTACTGTCTCTCAAAGCCAGAAACCAGAGTAAATAAGTAATACTCAAACTTGTGATGTCATCACAAATTTGAGCCTTAGCGCTCTTGTTTTTGGATTCGGGAGAAAGTTGTTCATGTTCACTAATATTTTATGGACTGTCTTAGACCATAGGTATTTGGAAAATGGGCGTAGTTCCCCTTTAAGTTGACTAACAACAAAATGTACAGGTCCATACATCTCATCCATGCTTTTCTTTTTACATTTTTCTTTTTGCTACTATTCATGGGTGTAGCAAAGTAGCTAGCTAGTAACTTTATACTCAAATGAAAGGTTGAAGAACATTTTCAACCCAAGCTGTAACAAAGTATAATTTTGATGATACTGAGATATGAGGCAGCCCGGCCTCCTTAAAGCCGGTGAAGATTGGTGGGTAAAGGTGAAAGATGGGAAACACAAGGGAAGGGGAGGCGAATGGAAGCCAGAATAGGAGGATAATAAATCATTTCAGCACAAAGTCCCAGTGACATCGATCTTGCTAAAGGAGAGCAGAGAGCTGAAATGATACATAGTGTAAAAGGTCTGTAGAGACACACTATCTGGTCCATCATACAGGTCTGGTTTCACCGCTGAGTCAATACTAAAGAACAAGGTTTCAGAGACATTCTGCTCCCGACCAAGGGTACATGATGCGTGTGCCGTGTCTCTGTGAATCTGATATGTTCCGTTTCTATATGGCAGTGTGTTCATTATGTTTGATGTTGTGTCACTGATATTACATGGTGGTCGTTGCAGCACTGGACAGTGTTCACGGAGGTGTCAGAGGTGTTCATCCTAGTTCCAGCACTGCTGGGGCTCAAAGGCAACCTGGAGATGACACTGGCCTCCAGACTTTCCACCGCGGTAAGAAATGTTTGTTTGTGTGTGTGTGTGTGTGTGTGTGTGTGTGTGTTGGTGATTGTCTTAGCTTTATCATCCTGAAGTACCTAATATACACTTTGTCCCACAAGAAGTGCCACTGGGCGTATTATGTTCCATAAAAAAAGATTCTTCTTATCTGTAAAGTAGCCATACCTGGAGTTGTTTTGGACTCTTTGTATAACGCTGCAAAATTGTCTCAGCTTAGCCTGGGGAATTGTTTCAATTGATTGTGGTTGTGTAAAGTTACCTATCTCTCATTGCCTGGCAACCCCTGTCAGACCCATTAAAGCTGATTGTTCTTGGGATCAGAGGTCATATTGCCAAATGTGACCTGGCTTTCATACAAACTGAGAGCAACATTCCGGTCCCATTCCTTGTTTTTTGTTTTAGGACTTTCACTGGCCGTGGCCAGCTGGGCATGCATGTTGGTTTTGTCTGAATATGTTGTTCATCCTAGACATCCGCTGAGTAGCAATGAATTATTTGAACAATTTATATTTATATTAATTTGTACTAGTATTAATGGTTAGATTGTTAGTTCCTATGCTGGTTTAGTCAAACCAAAGTCCATGGTGTTTTAGTGTTTGCTTTAACCAGATATTAAAGGTCTTAGCCCTGGAAATAATGAGAGCAAACTTGGAAGGATACATAATTGGCGGGGGGGGGGGGGGGGGTACGGGTCTGTGGGTTCACCTCCATAAATTAATAAAAATGTCCTGCTTTTCTTCACCACTTAACCTCTTGGATTAAGTCAATAAACAGCCACCTGCAGTAGTGTAGATCAGTCACATTGAGGGTGATATGAAAGCCAAGAATGCATCAAGAACAGTATGTAATTGGGTGGATCAAGACATGAAATAATGGTAATCTCATAAATAGTTAAGTAAAATTTGCGTTTACCAACCACACATCCCAAATAATAAAATCAACAACAATCTATTTATAGCCATGTTACACGTAAAAGAGCTGACTCTTTGATTCGGCTCCTTCGTGAACGTCCCATCTCCATAGCCGAATCCTGTCCAATCAGCGAGCCAACGTCAGGTCGGCTGGCTGGCATAGCTAGCAAACTTTGACTTGCAGATCGGTTCGGCATTTCGGCAACAGTACAATCCTACTTGTAGCTAATTTAAAGTCTGGCTACAGCCAGTGTGGGCCAAGGTTCATTCATATTCGCTAGCCTCTCTTTTCCTATGTTCCATTTTCGGTTGGTGATCGTAGTTAAGCTAAATGGTTTCCCGTTCCTTACCTTTTGTAAACAGTCAGACTCGCATGTGTATTGACAGAAAGCATGCTGTGTCAAACAATCAGCAATGGGTTTGACTAATCCAAATCAAAGGGTGGTCCAAAAATGTGTCAGCTGCTTAATATAGTCAAATTATCATTGATACAGGCCGCTTAAATTGAATCACCTGATTGGGGGGACTGTATAATGATAAGTTATCTCTTGAATCTGTATTATGGTGTAGTTTTTGTGTAATTATAGCTAGCTATCCCACTGGCTATTCATATTCACGTCTTACACAGTCGAGTGCTGCTTTGGTCTGGCTGCAGGGTTTCCACAAGTTCAATTTATTGCTGTTGTTACATCTATTGTCTGCGGCTCCACTTAGCTTTTGCCTATGAAGCCGTTCTCTGAGCTAACATGGTCCAGTGTGTAGTCTAAGGGGTCAATGACCTAGCTGCACACCCTGCCATTATGAAGGCATAAGAGAATTAGTCCAGAATTGCTCTTAAGCGCACCAATCCTCACATTCTTTCCACTGGCCTGTGGAAAACAAGTGAAGAAGCTGATTAGCATTGCTAACAGCGGCCCACCCAGCATGGGCAGCTTCACTCAGTCACAGAAATAACCTATTCTAACAAGACGTGTCACATTCATGTTTCCCCAAATTTCTATAGCACGCTATTCCATCTGGCTTACAAACTACAACAGATCCACATTTGTTGCAAAATTTCCAAATCCTTAGAGGATGAACTATATTGAGTAGTAGTTGAATAATTATTGATAACTTTGAGTTGTGGATTGAGGACGTCGTCTTCGGCTTTGGGAAACAATGATCATTTTTTTATATATTCGGACATTTTATAAACCAAACAACTAATCAATTAATCAGAAAGAATGAACTGTTAGTTGCAGCTTTAAATGATAATATCTATCAGTAAGGAGTCATAAAACATCCAGTAAAAATTGTATTGTTAAAATCACTACCTTAACCTGCCAGTTTTATGTTGCTGAAAGTTGCACTTTATAGACATAAATGTAGCTTGAATATATAATTTTGAGCTTGTTTGTCACACTAAAAGCCAAATCCTGGCCGTAGATGAAGTAGAACTGACAGTATTTCTTAAGACGTTTAATATTTGATGAGACGCCAATGTGAATATTTTTTGTTTCAGTTGTTTTTAGTTAGTGTTTTGTTGAACTTTCCGTGACGTTTCCAAGTTAATTACGAGTGCAGATGTGATAGTGAATCAATGACAGTTCGGGAAGTCGATTCAACAATGTGTCAACAATTCTTCAACACTGATTAAAGAAAACTGTCAATGGTTGTTGGTGTCCGGAGCCCATGTTGCTCTTTTTAAAGTTACTGAAATATCTTGAAAGAATGCAACAAGAATGCAACATATTCATTATAATATCATTTCCTGCAACCTTTGTTTGCATGAAATTTGATTTGAAGACATTTTTAAGACTTATTAGCTGATAGAATTATTTTTCAATATATACTGTATATATTTTTTTACAATGGTCCTATTTGTCAAAAATGCGTAGTTTAAAGGTCAGTGTGAAAAATGATTCTCACATCCATCATCACAAAGTAGGCCAGAGCGAGGCGCTTGCCCTGAGACATTACCGCTAGCTCTCTGCTGGCAGGCCCCACCATGCCGCCGCTAATTATGAGCAGATTAAGACCACTGCAAGTTTCCTAATGCGCTTATTAGTGAAAAAAATAATGTAATCCCTAGGACTGGCTGGCTGTTGGAGTTTTCAACTCACATGACCGTGTTGCCTTTTTGACTTTTTTTTTTAACCACTTTGTCTCTGATAGATCGCCGAAATGAGTCTTGTTGTCTCATCATTACTTATTTGACTTACGTCATATCCCCTCTCATGTTCAGGATTATACGTATTTGAATAATGATATTACACGAACTTGGCAGCACCTGCATCATGACTGTGTTCGAGTTGCGCCCGTTTTTTTAACACACTTTAGTCAGAGATTACAACCACTACAAACGCCGTGTTTATCCTCATGTGTATTAGATCTTTCAACATACACTCCTTACACGTGTAGCAATGCTTTTGAATCGTCGCAACCTCTCATCCATCTTATGTGATCCCTGAATCACTTTCACGACCCTTACCCTGATCCAAACACCACTAATCCAGTCGCCCATATACACAGACACACACACGCCTATAGCCGAGGACCTGGCATCATCATCATCATCATCACATATCATCACCAGGTGATGCTTCTGTGCATTTCTGAGCTCATCTATGTACTGAATCGTTTTTGCATATTGTTGCTCTAAAGGGGAATTTTGCGATGGGTTGCAAACACACTCTTTAACTCTCATTACAAAAGAAGGTCTTCTTATCTGCATCCCTTCAAGGTTCTGCAGATGAAAGTTCTCTCTCATTGCATGTGGAGTTCACCGTGAGACCACGACGCCCCCTCTGCTCTGCACAGATGTTCTCTTAACTCTCTTATTTAATATTTGTAGCAGTTCGCCCCCCTTTGGAACGACAGCATGTCTGTGGTAGCAGGAGGCGTCCATGCACACGTTTGCATGGCGCGAGGAGTGTGTTTGCGCGGTTGAAATGCTATCTGGCGGCAACTATCTGGCAGATGCACAGGTCATAATGACGTACAGCGCTAATAAGCGCATCACGTCATGTCAGCCAGGCTTGCAAGCGTTCCCATGCTGCTGGATGTAGTCGTCGTTGTATGGGGCTAGATTGTGAGGAAAGAAACTGCCTCATTTTCCCCTTATGATACCAGTATGGCTGACCTTTTACGTTATATAGTGTCTCTAAAACTTTCATTGTGTAAGCTCCCCCCCTAAGGTAAACACTGTTAGCTCTGTCAGCACTGTTTTCATTGTTTACAATGTTAGCGCCGTTAGCTGCCAGGCATGTTGACAACTGTGTGGAGGCACTAGATATGCTCTGAATTTTAAATTTAGCACCTTTAAAGCGGTATCAATCAACACAAGCTAACATATTCGCAACCATAGCATGTTAGCGAATAGCAGCCATGGAGCAACATTAACATCTCTTTGGAGAGATGTTTCTAGTTACCTGGCCAATATAAGTCCAATATTCATACTCTCCTGACGTTTTTTGCTCTCTTTTGTTCTCCAGCAACTCCTGAGAAACATGTCTGGGCTTGTAGCTGCTGGATGTTTGATGATCTACACCAGCTGATTGCTAACTAAGTGTACAGTGGGTTTATCTGTGCATTTCTTTTGTGGCAAAACGGCTGCACACAGGGGCTGATGAGAGTGAGACGCAAGCACACAGTGAATTTGCAGCCGTAAAACCAAAATAATGAGCTGAAGTGGCTAAAAAGCTCAGTAGAGCTGATGAGTTGGGTGGCAATTGGCAGTAATTTTGCCACTTTCAGCATTCAGTTCAGCAGAGCCATTTGATTGAATGTTGATGTAAACAATAGTGATCAAAGTTTTTTTTCCCCTAAAATATGATTGATTGACTCCATTTTTATTTATTGACTGATACCAGAATAAATTAGTTTTAAACAACGTTTTTGGATAGCTGTTAGCATGGTGATGGCAAAGATGTTTCTTAAAATGATAGTGGATTGTAATGAAGGGCATTGCTGATGTAGTTGCATGGCTAAAATGGAGTCAGACGGGCAAGAAACACAAGCAGCCAGGCCGTTTTAAACAAGCACCCAGGTTAGCCAAATATATTTTGAAGAGAAACAAAGGAAATCTGTCCGTTGAAAACTTCTATCGCAGTTTACACGACGTCTTTCTGCAACTGGCCCACCGTACTTGTCGTAATTATGAATACACGCTTTTAGCATCATTTTGTGTTCGCTCAATTTCCGTTCTACCTCCAAATAAAGTGGTTTCGATGATCTGGCTCAACCGTCCCGTCGGACGTCGTTGTTGCGACGTTGTTACGACGTTGTTGCGACGTTGTTTGCGACGTTGTGACGTTCCCAGAAAAGTTATAGTAAATCGGGATTATCCTCAAAACATTCCAACCCCACAAATTAAACTACATATGTATTCATATAAACTTCTTTTACTGCTTTATTAAACCCAAGCGTAAAGCGGATAATCCCCCCCGCAGACTTCTATGTGTTTTCATGCGTCCAGATGTTTCCCTTCCCTCAGCATATGTAATAGTTAGAGGAGAGGAAGGAAGAGGGGATCCTCTGTCTGTGTCCTCTCACTATGGATGAGCATCAGGATCATTGCTCTGGACACAGAAGCCCACTGTAGCCGCAGACACTTGGCACTTGAGACCATCAGTGTGTGTGTTTGTCTGTGTGTGTGTGTGTGTCAAAGCAGGGAGATGAGATAAGTGGAGTCGGCCGCAGGGTGGGGGATCAGATCAGAGTTTCTTTGTCCAAAGAACTGACATCTGATTGTTCTGTTGGGACCAAGAGGCAACAGCATGTATACACGCTGTACACCCACAAACACACACACACACACGATAATATGTTGACCTTGTGTGTTCTTGTCTCTCTCTTTCAGGCTAATATTGGTCAGATGGACACAGCCAAGAACATGTGGAAGATGATAATGGGGAACTTGGCCCTCATCCAGGTAAGTGAAACACATCTCTGGAGGACGATGAAGTGAACTCTGGTGTCATGGAGCATCTCTGGCACACGCTTACATCCCACTTAACAAAGCAGGTTACTGGGAGAAATCAGGTTAAGGCAAGAAATCAGATGGTGAGTTTATGTGCTGTTCAATTCGATGGTCAGATTGCTCTCAAACTCAGTTTACATGAAAACATTTTAATTTAAGTTTAAAGGGTAACTTCGGGATTTTTCAACCTGTGTGTTTTTTGTGTCAAAGTGACTAATGGAAACATTTTTTTCTTTTAATTGGTCCAGTATTGGGTGAGAATGTTGCAGATGACAGCCACTAAACGGGCTGCAATGTAATCGCTAATTGCAACTCCTCACCGTCAATATATGTCCACAATAAGTGCTTGTTTCTGCCACTGACAGGCCCAGATTGATATTATAAGTGTCTGACAACATTATGGAAAGAACCCTACGGAGAAATAAAACCTTTCGCTTGACCTCGTCTGTTCGTTCTTGTGGCTAACCAGGTCTCGCTCAACGAGAAGTCTCGTTCCGAAGTGAAGGTTAGCCCTCAAAATCAGCTATATAATCAGCCATGATATTGCAAATCTGATATATAACACTAACATACGCTTTCTGGACTCCAACAAAACAAATTCTGACAACACCTGCACTCACGTTTCCTCCGTTGTCTCCTGGCAACAAGTCACCCCTCATGAGATTTCAGAACGAGACTTCTCCATGAACGAGCCTTGGTTAGACACAATAGCAAATATAGGGGATGAAGGTAAAGACATTTTTTTTATTTCTCCGTAATATTATACTAATATACATAATATAGTCTGTCAGTGGAAGAACAAGCACTTTTAGTGGACGTACATTGACGGCGAGGAGTTGCCCAGCGCAAATACATTGCAGCCTGTCTGCAGCGTTCTCACTCAATACTGGACCAGTTTCAAAAATGGTTGTACCCATTAGTCACTTAGACAGAAAACATTTGAAAAAAGGGATGAAACAAATCAAAGTTACCCTTTAAGTGTGACTTTGCTTTGAATTATTTTGCATTCGACAACGCACCGCTTTAAGTAATGAGGCTTTTCCTTTCCTCCGGTCAAACTTTTGTCCAGGATCTTTATCTCGCACACAAAAAAACGTGAAAAACCTGATTACAGTTTTACATGGCCAAATGATCAGGTTTCGTTTGATCCCTTTAACCTGATAAAGGAAAACCAGTTTCTGCTTTACATGACATTTCAGGAATCAAATTACTGGCAAACCTAAGGAAACAATCTGGTTTCATGAGGGCACAGTGTGTACGGTAAACACAGCGACTGATCATTACTGAGAACACCAACAACACGTGTGTTGCTGTGTGACAGCTTCTGAATGCTTGGCTCTCATCGTAAATCAAAGCAGTGGGAGTCAAATATGTCCCATAAACCCATGCTCCACCAGCACAGCCTATTGTCTGGTGTGACTGCAGCTTAAGAATGAAGAAGCCCACACCCTAACAGGTGCAACAAAACTGTCAGTCAAGCACAGTCTGAAAAAAACGTGTCCCGAGATGAAAGGCAGAATAAGACAGGAAACACCATGAGCCCTCTCTATTGTTCTCTGCTGCTGCTTTGTACTGATCTGAGCAGTTACTGTACATAAAACAAGGACATTTAAACAAGCAATATTTCCAGAATGAGAGATCAGTCTCTGTCAATCCAGAAGGACATATATATTGATATATTTAAATGCATATATATATATATATATATATATATATATATATATATATATATATACAGACAGACAGACAGATCCTCTATAGGGAACATTCATTCATGTGGCCTCCCCTGAGGGTCTGCCATTTGAAGTGGGCTTGTGGTTACGTAACGTTCAGTGTGTTCCTGGAACATTTAAACCAGTGCTGACACAACCTCCCATATAGGGGTCTGGATGCACTCACTCTGGGTCACAATGGGGCTCTATTAGGAGAGTTACATTGGAGATACATATTTCTTTTGTCTATTACTGACGTTGGTAGTTATGACGCAAAGGCTGGGATGCACCAACAAGGATTCATTTAATCTAAGATTAACTCTAATCAGAGTTCAGCAAAACTAGGTTTCAAATGAGTACAACTAAAAACTAGTCCCTCTTCAGTAAATCCAAATTTAAATAGAAGTGAAATGTGATGCTTGCTTAAACAGATAGAAATAAATACATTGATTTGCTTTACATTTGATTGTTAGTGTTTGTTAGCCTGACGTTACTTTGGCAGAGAAGCTCTAATTTCTCCTTGAGGATTAATGGAGCATTATCAATATAAAAATGGGACAGTGAGGAAAGAAAGATTCAAACTACAAAAAACAGAGACTGTCGGTCTATTATTCATGTTCAGTTCCGTAACAGTTTCTATGCTAAAACAGTATCTTTAGAGACATCATAAAGCTTAATTATCAATTATCTGTCCAGTAATCTTTTTTGCTCAATCAATCTCAGAAAGGCAGACATTTTAAAAGTTCAACCTCCTCAAGTGTCAATTTTAAAGCTAATACCGGATCACATTTTAAATGGGAGTTTAAAGTTTAGATGCAACAGATTTCAGTACATTCTAAAAATTAATTAATCTAATCTAGGTTTAGAGTAAAAACAAACTGACGCTTAGAGTCAAGTTTGAATTGTATCCTTACTAATTGTAATCTAGTTTTAATGTTAAGTCCATTTTAAAGGGAAACCTTTAAATCAGGGATAAAAAGCTAATAACTGTGAGTAAGTGAATGAGGGTCTGTAGTACTATTTACTGAAAATAAAACTGTATATATATTAAGTAAGTGTGTCCATTCTGAAAGCTGCTCTGATGTAACGAGATAGTCTCCCATACAACTGGAGTTCACATCGACAGCAGCGTTAACCGTCTTCGTTGTGTGTGCTCAGGTCCAGGCCACCGTGGTGGGTTTCCTGGCCTCCATAGCTGCTGTGATCTTCGGCTGGATCCCAGAGGGACACTTCAATCTGGGCCACGCCGTGCTGCTGTGTGCCTCCAGTGTGGCGACTGCCTTCATCGCCTCTCTGCTGCTAGGTACGGCCACCGCACACAGGGTGTGAGGGGGATTCACAGTGTTAACAGCTACTCATCGTGCATGTCTGGGTCACATCCGACTCCCGCCTAAACTAGCTAATGTAACTGAACTCATCAATGTTGGATATTTAGTAAGGCGACAACCTCCGGTTCTGACAAATGAAGCCAATGCGGAAGTGTCTTAAACCTCCAATTCTCTCTACTGACCAGTAAGGGGGGGGGACTCCTCTGGTTGCATAAATACGTCCAATTCTATAGAAGTCTATGAGAAAATGACTCTAATTCTCACTTGATTTATTACCTCAGTAAACATTGTAAACATGAGTTTATGCTCTCAATCTCTAGTTTCAAGTCTTCTTCAAAACAGCATGATGTTCATTTAGTAAATTATGATCCATTTAAAGTCACACAGACCATAAAGTGAAGTATGATTTAGGGCAGACTTACTGTGATTGACAGATTGCTGTCTCTACCAGAGACGTATACAGCGTCTCTACGTCACTCCTCTGTATTCCAAATATGGTCACTTCTGTTCAATGGTTGCAAAAAAGCCAAGATGGCGATGGCCAAATTGCTGAAAACGGTGGTCCACAAATCAGTGGGTGACGTCACGATGACTACGTCCTCTGCTTATATACAGTCTGTGGGTTGTGTTAAGTGGCATTCAACTAAGTTCCCCAAAAAAAATGGTTTTATAGCATAGCTATATTAGTGTTCAATGCAATTAATTTACATCCATCGTAGCCACAGCCGCCTCTTTAAATACAACCCCTTTGTCCATTGCGCCTCACTTTTCGCCTAGTGGATGCACTTGCGTCCTGCACTTTAGACGATGTGCTATAGATCGTTTGAAAAAGGGCCTAAACCCGTGGCAGTGGCTCTGTCAGTCTGTGCTTTAGACCCGGTAGTGCTTCGAGCTAAAGGCTAACGTCTGCATGCTAACATGACAATGTAAACATGGTGAAGTTTAGAAGGTGTAATGAATATCTGTACGAAAATGACAATCCAGCCAGTTGAGATATTTATATATTTTGCCACCTTGAACTTTCCTGGTGGGAAACAACAGAATCCCACATCTACACCCAGAAAGACAACATTTTCTACTCTGTGTTTTCGCTCCTCACACTTGACCCCAGAATGACAGTTACCACATATCGATATCGCGCAACTGTGTGTGACAAGTCTTCTAAATTGTGACATCTCTTGACCTTTAAACCCCACAGGGCTCATCATGATCGGTGTGATCATCGCGGCCAGGAAAGTCGGCATCAACCCTGACAACGTGGCCACGCCCATTGCCGCCAGCCTGGGAGACCTGATCACCCTGTCCCTGCTGGCAGGCATCTCAACTGGACTGTACAAGGAGCTAGGTAATAAACACGCACGGGTGGTACATTTAGTATCTGCAATGCTCGGTTAATGGTGACTCGTCAAAGTTGATCAATGTCTGTGGTATCATTCAGCTGTTGGGAGTAGGGCTGGGCGGTATGACCAAAAATGCATATCACGGTATTTTGTAAGATTTTGGCGGTTTCACGGTATATCACGGTATTTTTTTTCCGTGTTAAAGCATTAATTAATTAACGCCGAAGAGAACCGGCCGGTCAACCGGCCAACGAACGGTGAACAGCTGTTTGTGTGGCGTGTCTTCCGTTCCGTCACTTCCTTTTTCCTTCACCTACATTCCCCTGGGTCCTACGCCCCTCCATGTACAGCTTCTCATCAGTCTATTTTCTGATCCTCACTCCGGAGCAGAAGGTGGCGGTATTGCACCAATAAGATGGATGCCAACCACCGTAAAACAAGAAGAAGAAGAAGAAGAAGTAGCGCTCATAGCGGCGAACAATATATTTTGCTGCCTGTTGAAGAGCGACAGAAGTTGTTTCGGCTGTGACGGTATATGAAAAATTCATATCATACGGGAAATTAAAACTGGTATACCAGTTGAACCGGTATACCGCCCAGCCCTAGTTGGGAGGACGTTTTTGTTGTTTTATGACCTAGTTTTCACCCATTTGATATTTGCAAGAGCGTGGGCTGGAACCGTATGGAGGAGATGGGATGTAAAAAATATGTTTCTAGTGCAAAATAATCGCCATTCTTACCGCTTTCTTCAGATGGCAGATACAGTCGGTAGTTGTGACGCAAAAAATCTAAGATTAGCTCGAATCAGAGTTCAGCAAAACTAGGTTTCAAATGAGTACAACTAAATTTGAAATTAAGCAGAGCTCTGTTGCACAGTTAAAAACTAGTCCCTCTTCATTAAATCCAAGTTCAAATTAAAGTGAAATGTGATGCTTGCTTACACAAATACAAATAAATACATTGATTTGCTTGCTTGCTGAACTACAGAAAAAAAGAGACTGTCGGTCTAATATTCCTGTTCAGCTCCGTAACTGTTTCTATGCTGAGATCTTGATCAATGTCTTTGGCATCATTCAGCTGTTTTTGTTGTTTTATGACCTAGTTTTCACTAGTTCTGTTCCCATATAGCAGCAGGAATCATACACGACAATAAAGAGACACAATCGTTTCTGAGGAGCCAAAGTTTCCGTGGTTGCCGTCATCACGGTTGCTATGTTTGTGATAGAACCTGCACAGTCTATTTTACCTTTTGATGATGTAGAATTAAAGGGAGCAGCATGTGTAGAAATGTTTGGTATGTGACTGCGTCTCTCCGGGTGCGGTAAATAAGGACGAGAGCCACAAGAAGAAGACGCTATTGTTAGCTCTGGCAAACATGGTTTCACTTAACTATCCGCTTCCACACCACAGACCAACACTGACACACACAGGAGCAGTGAAAAACATCATGACTACAGCGTGGGATAATCCAGAAACTCCTCCCGGCTGAGGAGAGTCTGCAAACTTTACAGTCATACTCACTTTAAATGGCACAGTCTGGTGCCAAAACTGAGCTTATTTGGGTTCTTTTGGCTGTTGTGTTTGAGTTGGTCGTAGTCTCCCGTAGTGTCAGTTTAGTAGTAAACACTGCCCCCTAGAGACAACAACAGGGACTCACTGTCAGTCCAAATGTAGTCCAAATGTAGTCCAAATGTAGTCCAAATGACGCAGTTGATGTTGAAAATACTTCACATTTGAATATGTCACACACGTGACTGTGACGACCTCAGTGGGCTGCACCACACTCAAAGTTTAGGAAAGATACTAAAACACCATTTTCAAAATGATCAAACTAACACATGTACGCAGAACCTCCACATAATGAAAGCGTTGTCCACCAAACGCCTGCTTGGTGTGTGAATCCACCTTTCTCTTCCTCCTGTACAGAGTTCAATGACTACGTCAGCCCGCTGGTGTGTGCGGTGTTTGTGGCCTTGTGCCCCCTATGGGTGCTGATAGCCAGGAGGATCCCATCCACCAGAGAACTGCTGTACTCTGGCTGGGAGCCGGTCATCATCGCCATGGCCATCAGCAGGTACAGCACGCAGGGATCATGTCACCTTGCTTCACCTGTGTCAAATCGCTGAATACTACGGAGTCCAGGAGGGGCCAGAGAGAGAGAAAAAAATAAAACATTTAAGGAAAATTAAAGAGTTTATGAAAGCTGTTCAAGGAACCAAGTGCCTTAAAGGGGACGTATCCTGCTCATTTGTAGGTTCATACTTGTATTCTGGGTTGTGTTTACATGCTTTATTTGTCCAAAAAACACATTATTTGTTTTTACCCTCTGTCTGAAACGCTCCGTTTTAGCGACTGTCTCTCGCACAAAAAGGCCCAGTCTGACTTGGCCTAACTGTATTTTTATCATCTATTCACACAATTATATTTAAGTGGTTAAGATTTGCATTAATGTATAATAAGTAGTGCTGGCAAGTTAACGAGTTAATTTTGTGTTAACGCATTCATTAATTAACGCCGACAATTATTTTATCGCGCGTTAACGCATTTTTTAAATTTATTATAATTTTTTTTTTTTAATTGAAAGACAAGAGACAATACATAGACATAACAACAAGAGGATGACAAGAACAGTGGGATAAAAGCCAGCAAACATCATACAGTCAGTCATTTTAGTGCACCTATATGCTGAAATTCAAGGTAAACGCATTTAAACGGCACAGATCGGGAGCGAGCGAAGGACTTTGAAAGTTAGCGGAAATATTAACGTGAGACAACATCCGGTTTCTTCAGACGAACATCCGGTTTTCAAAATAAGATGCCAACAAAGTATGACTTATATTCACATTAAGTATAAAACATGCTACCTGCATCTCATGAACCAAATGTTATTGCCCTTTTGTTCATATAGCAGTACTTTTAAAATAAAAGTGCGCAATACACTACTTTTGAATTCATTATTGAACTTTGCCATAACAATGCGATTAATCACGATTTAATCGCAAAAAATCCATGCGATTAATCGCGATTAAATATTTTAATCGTTGCCCAGCACTAATAATAAGTATATACTTTTTTTCTACTTTGAAATCAAATTCTGAAAGTAAGCAAAACGTACACATCACCACTTACAATCTGCATGTTCCGGATTCATGATTGTGGGAAGGATCTTCATGTGTTTTCTCTGAAACGATGTATGGTCACGACTCCGCTAATCACTCTCGTCTGTCTCTTAGTGTCGGTGGTTTGATCCTCGACAAGACCGTCACCAACCCAAACTTTGCTGGCATGGCGGTCTTCACCCCGGTCATCAACGGTGAGGAGTCATAAAGCCCGAGAGATGAAACTTTAATGGATCCTTTGGGGAAAGTGGGCGTAAAGAAAGAGAAGAAGAGAAGCGAGTGGTGTCGATAACAGCAGCCAATATGTTAATAAGTGAAACATCAAACAGTGATGGAGATAAAGGTTGATTTGGTGTGGAGAACAAATATAGAAAAATCTGTTCTAGTGCTGAAAAGTGTATCTAAAGCTGTTCATGTTACCACCTCCATCTGGTTTCATGACACACAGATGGAGGTAGCATATTGCTCCTGCTGGATTTAATGCCAAGCTTTTTCTTTAGACCTGACAAATGAGAAGCAGGTGAAATATTTTATGTATTTCACTATTTCTATAAAAAAAACACGAGAACATACGTATAACATATCTATCAACATATTTTGTATGTCATCACACCAATATTGAGGCTGTTATGTTGTCTTTCCATGTTTTCACCCTGTGTGTGTGTGTGTGTGTGTGTGTGTTTGTGTGTGTGTGTGTGTGTGTGTGTGTGTGTGTATGTGTGTCAGGTGTGGGAGGTAACCTGGTCGCGGTTCAGGCCAGTCGCATCTCCACCTATCTGCACATGAACGGTCTACCCATGGGGGATCCCAACCCCACCCCCAGGAAGTGCCCCACACCCTGCACCTCCTTCTTCGGCTCCTGTGAGTTGACGGGCGTTGCTGTGGAATGTTTCCGCTGTGTCTCTCTCTCTCTCTCTCTCTCTCTCTCTCTCTCTCTCTCTCTCTCT